TTCTCTTCTAACTGCTGCATCCATCTTTCTTTAACTTGCTTGCCTCAGTTAAGCAACAAATCAGCTAATCTAGTCTAATTTACTCAGACTGATTACCCCTATCGGTTAGTATCTTGAGAAAGATTGACACTGAGCAAAGTAGGAGAGCAGCTTCTGGGTTGCCTAGGTTGCCCCTTGGCTATTGCTGGTTATTAAAGTGGCTACATCCTTTATATTGCCAAAAATACAAAATCTGAAAAAGAGTGTTGGTATACGCTTTTAGCTTGCATGTCATACTCAAGTGTCAAATATAATGTTAAGTGCTAAGTGACTTTTGACTGTATGCATGTGGTAGGAATTCAATGCATTTTATGTTCCAATTTATGACCAGAAATTAAAAAAGGAATTCTAGTATTGTATTAGGACAATTCTGGCCACTGTAGAGCTTTTGCCCTTAATTATACAGCTGCTTTAGTAAGAATACTGGATTAAAAAAGAGAGAAGAAGGTAGACATTGTTGTCCTTTGAGTGTCTTCAGAACAAGGACTGAAGAACTTGTTAGCTATGGAGTTGTATTTTATGTAGGTTGTCCCTGGTATTTAGGAACAGACACTGAGGTGCACAATTAAGTTGCCTTTATCTGAAGGTGCAAGTAGCACATAAGAATGCAGATCTGATCCTGTGTCAAACTTGTTTGTTTGTTTGGTTATTAGTTCTCCCTCTAAGGCTACAGGTAGTCAGAGTTCACAAGGTAATTTGAAAGCCTTAAGAAATCTGTTAGCAGGCTTGTTTGTGCTGTTGGACAACTTACATCATCTCAGTTGGCCAAGTGCAGTCTTTTTTTTTTTTTCCCCCCTCCCCCATCTTCATCCAGCACTGAGGAATTAAACCAGAACAGTGTACTTCTCCTTTCCCTAATTTTTTGAGGTTTCTTATTTTCAATCAGTCTAGGTTTTTAATTTTTTCACTGCCATGTAAATCTTTGAGGTTAAAACACTGGCTGTTATCTGCATGATTTTGATTGTGATACAGAAAATCTAATCAAAAGCAAACTGGCAGTCTGTTCATGAATGGATTTGCTGTGCTTTAATCTTCAAAACCATAACTTTTTTTTTCTTAGTATCAGTAGTAAAAATAAACAGCTCTTCATAGTGTTTCCCTGGTTCTGATTTGTCGCCTTCCTCTGTTTGCGATTAAAAACTGAGTGGGTCAAGCCTTTATTTGAAAGCATGGATGTCAACTTCTGGTTAGAGTAACTGAACTTCCAGTTCTGAAAATCAGTACTCTTTCCTCTCTAGAATTCAGATATTGCTATGACAACTGTGCTTTCAATTCTTCAGAATCATGTTGGTCAGATACAGGTGTGTTAAGTTTAATGTGGGTGTGATGGGATGAAAAAAGGACTAGAAGTTATGCTGATGCCACATAAAACAGTGATTTTCAAACAATTGTGTTATACCATATGGAACCTTTTCCGGAAAATTGTAAAACAGAGCACTGAGAATCATCTTTGAGGAAGTAGCAGTGGGTGGTCTGTAGAAGGAACTTATTATAAATGGTCTGCATAAAATGCAGTTGCGGGAATTGCTTTTCTAAATCTCACTTAGGAAGATACTATTGAGTTCACTTGAAGTAACACAGTTCCTGTTGGTCCTCTCTAACGTAAACAATACATGCTGTGAAAGGTGATACAGTATTGCTCTGCTTGTACTATATTGTGTGTTTATATCTATACAAACTTTAGCCAACTTGGCTAATGTTCTTGTCTACTCATTTAGGGGAAGTGAGTGATCCCTCAGGTCTGCTAGAAAGTAAATGCTGTGATGACACTGTGTAATCTTTTGTTGTAAAAGTATTGTTTGTTTCCCTTGCTCTGTATTTATCTGACTATAAAGAACCTGCTGAAGAAAGGGCCCTTCTCTAATATTTTTGAAAAAACTTGGAGTATAGAAGTTACTGTTGTTAAAGGATGACATTACATAGGAATGTAAGGTTTGGCTGTTTTGCTTGTCTCTACCAGCTTCCTTCCATTAGCATTTGAAGTATAATTGATCCTTGAGCAAGAGCTTAGGTGCTAAATCCTCTCCTTGCATTGTGTTCTCTTTTAGTACTGTAACATCACTTAGCCCTGATTTTGGCTTCTGCTATTTTCTAGACCCTTTGAAATAAAACAGGGACTTTCTTGGTATAGCATAGGAAACTGTAAAGCAGTTAAGTTAGCTTTTGTTTTGCAAGTTATTCAGCAGGGGTGTAGAGCATGTATCTAAGCATTAAATTATTGTGCTATGTTGTATGTATTAGGATGGGAGGAGTGGGGACAAGATACAAAGGGACTGTATCCCACCTCCATTTTTTCCAGAATTTAAGGTACTTACATTTCAGTTTTCATCCAAATCAAGTTTTGTAGCCTTTTATTTTTTCATTTTCTGCTCCCTTCATGACTAGAAGACCATCCATTGGTGGTGGTTTTCTTCTTGAAGCAGAGATGAAGACATTGCTTAAGTTTGTTGTGCCATGATGATGTTTGTGAATTTAATTTCCAGCAATACGACGTGAACCATTGTGTCACATGAATACATTTAAAATCCTTCAACTTTCTGATTGTCTTTGACACCTTTCATAAATGCTTCATTACCATTGCAGATGAAAACATTCCCTGTTGGCAGTCAGACTACACAGCATAATTTAACATATGATTCAACTCTTCAAAACTGTTACAAACTTAACTCAGTATAAATCAAACAAATAGTCCTTTACAGTTGTATGTCATGAGTGATGTTGTCATGTTTATGTATTTCTTCATTTTCTCAGGACAGATAAGCATTTTGTTTCTAAAGTTGTGAATAGTGCATATGGCCAGGGTGTGCTGCACTGGAGACTGCATACGTGCTAGTGACAAACTTGAACAGGCCTTATACTGAATCTGAGAATTTTGTATGGTACCACCTTCCTCCTTTCAAAAAAGGAAGAAAAAAAGCATTTTAGTAAAAATTTTTGTGACCTGTGAAAGACTACAAAAATACCATTTGGATAATCCAGATTATTTGCTAAGATGACTCTGTTTGTTAATGTATTTTGGGGAACCAGAGAAAAACAAACAGTACCCCAGACAGCTTAACCACTAAAAACTTTTTTACAGCTGAGAAATGTGGTGTCATGACATGAGGCAGACATTGGTATGTCAGATTATATTTTTCTTTCCTAAATTAGATGTTAAGCACATTGGAAACTCAGTAGGAGATTCTGCCTGTGAGAAGTGATCTACAATGGATCATTGCATGGTAATATGCCTTTGTGTGAGGCAGTGACCCCTAAACCTTGGGAAAACAAAACAAAGAGCGATGCCTGAATCACATGTGTGAATATGTTACTGTGCAGTGGTTTTAATGATTTCCAACTTTGCTGTAAGGAAAAGCTATTACTATTTGTGTAATAGCTATTGAAGTGTTATATTTTGCTAGCCTAGCAGAATATGCTAGACTGTATCATTTTCATTTACTTTAATACACTAATTCTAAGATATATTAGTCTGGTTGCTGCTACATAAGCAGCAGAATTGTCTGTGCATTGAGGTTAACAAGAAAACTAGAGTGGGAACTGACCAGTATTATTTAAGATAAGGATTAAGATAACTGGTGGAAAACAAGATGTGGCAGTTGATGCTTCTCTCCTGGTGCTGTTCCAGTGCCTTGCAGCATTACCTTCAAAATCTGCTCATGTGTAACCTTTGTACTGTGTGCTGCTGTATAGTAAGTAAGTAAAAGTTTTAATACTTAAAACATTTTTATACTTGAATACCAACTTCAAAATGCAGTCCTGAAAAATTTTGCAGGAAAAAGTCTGTATCTTTGTATGGCGAAGCATTTTTATAGCATAGAGTGTGATACTGTAGGAAAAAGAAGCATCAAAGACAAGACAGTGTCTCAGTAAAAAGTAAGCTTCATGAGCATGACGTTGAAATATTTTGTGACTATGATTGGAGAAGATTTCAGTTAGTCTTAGTACTTGTAAAAATACTCTAACTGTCTGTTGATCATGATGATTAAATTGTCATGGGACTAATTGCTCTAGAACAACAAGGGTGCAAGGGTGAGGGGACTTGAATGTCTAGATGAAGTTGTGGTTTCACCAAGTACTGTTGTAGCCTTTTGTCCAGTTACTACCAAACATTGTGGTGCTCAGATAATCTTCCAGTTTTTCTGTGCTTAATCATTGTCTCATTTTCTTTTCGATGTGAATTTGGATTTATTTTGTGAGAGAGTTCAAGTTTCATGTCATGTGGAAAAAAATATGCATATTCCTTGCACTTTTGCCATTTCTCCTGCTGATTCTGAAGAGATTGAAATCTTGGGTTTGGTTGTGGTGTTTTTTGGTTTTGTGTCCCGTCTGTCCCCCCCTCCCCCAATATTTCCAAGGAGACTTAGCTCTGTGAAGTTCAGTATACTATTTTTTTAAGCTTTTTCAGTATATCATGGGAAATGTTAAACAAAAGACTACTGTAAGACAATGTTAGTAAACCGGGTCTTTAATAGCTCTTGCTTCTTTGAAATATAGGACCACTTTTCTCCTTAGAAGTACCATTCCAACTGTTAGTACCTTTATAATTACCTTTACAAGTACATTTACTTACAGCAGGTTGTGGATTTGAGGGAGCGGGGGGAATGAAGAGAAAAATGAAGAGAAAAAACCTACCGAACTTGCTGCTGTCTGTAAATGCACTCTTTCTTGACCATCTCAATTACTAGCAAGTTAACAATACACAGAAATGACAATAGTGCACTAACAAGGAGTATGGTAAAGGAAATTATTTTTATGGTCATGTGTGCCATAAAGAGTAGTATGTACTGGAATTTCTTTTTCCGCTGGAAATAATCTTTTAATGTTGTTTTTTTTTGTAACCTGTCTTCAGTCTTTTAAGGATGTTCAGTATTGCAGGATCAGGGTTCTTCTCAAGGGAAGAATAAGGGAAATATAATTAACTTTAAAAAAAAATTATGCTAAATAGATTTTTCTTTGTTCAGCTTAGAGCAATAAATGTAGATCTCCAAACTGATGCTGCTCTGCAAGTGGATATCTCAGATGCACTCAGCGAGAGGGACAAAGTGAAATTCACTGTCCATACAAAGGTAAAAGCCTGGACAAAACACTGAACGTTTTCGTAATGATATAGAAAAGAAAGTTTGCTTAAACTGTTTATTGAAACATGTGTAACACAATCCAAAGGAAATTAGAAAGTAACGTTATCTCATGTTTAAGAGACTGTGTAGCTGCAGTGCTTAAGAAAAAGGTGGCTACAAAGTTAAGAAGTTAAACTGTTTAGAAAAAAATTTATGTTCCTTTTCTTTTTGTACTGATGTGTTGTCATGCCATTCCCATGCTTATTAATTGGCCTGTTTGCAGGTAGAATCTTTAATATACCTCAATATTCTTCAGTATAGCTTTTTACCAGATTAGCCATAGTTTCAGATTCTAAAAGTATATTTCATAACAGAATTGCATTCAAGAATAATTTTCAGTTACTGCTTGTTCATGGCTTTTCTTTTTTTAGATTTGAATATTTATTGGTCACAGAATCACAGAATAGGGTTGAATAAAATTTCTGGAGATATTTAGTGCCATTTCCTCTCTCACTTCCACTACTAAATCAGGGAGAACAAGAGCACATTGCTCAGGACTTGTCTGTTTGGGCTTTGAATATCTCCAATGGCAGACATTCCATAACCTCTTTGGGCAGCCAATTGATTGCTGCACTAATTAAGACAGGGATAATTATTGCTGTATGAACTTGTTTTGCTCAAATTCTTACTTGGATGATTTGATTATTTTTACAGCGATATTTTTGGTTTTCCTTCAATGTATTTTTCATATAGTAATGAAGAACATTTTGGTGGGGTTCTTTTTTTGTTTGTTTGGGGTTTTTTGTGTGTGGATTTTGGTGTTTTGGTCTTTTTTCCTAATTCTTCCTCCATTTCCCCTTCTAGAGTTCCTTACCGAATTTCAAACAAAATGAATTTTCTGTTGTCCGGCAACATGAAGAGTTTATTTGGCTTCATGATTCTTTTGTTGAGAATGAGGACTATGCTGGCTATATCGTAAGTATTACAGTTCTTTTGCTTTATGACTTCTTTTGCTGTTTTCTGTAGACTGTATCAAAAGTACTTGTGACTGCGGATGTTCATTCTTTCTAAAATCAGATCAGATGCTCTAAATACTTCATTTTATGCAATTACACAACTTAATGGTTGAAGCAAGCTTGGAGGAAAGTTACTGTAGTTTCATACTTTCTTGCCTTTCATTCCTAAGGATTGAGTAGTTTAATCTGTATCCAAATGTATTTTTAGTCCACTGTGTTAAAAGTGTAGGAGATAGGTGAACTGTGTAACTTGGTGGTATTGTTTTTGCAAGCTAATGTTTAACTTGGTTACAAGTTTCATGTTGCCTTTGTTTTAGCTGGAATGGCAGAGTGCAGTAACGGAGCTCTAGTAATTAGACTTTTCCAGTTTTCATTGTGAAGATCAGAATCATTTTACCATAAATCAGTTGGAGGGGGAAAAAAACCCAACTCAAATACCACTTAGAACTACAGAGAACCTTAATACACAACAAGTTAAGGTTTGAAGTTTATTTCAGGCCTCTGGGGAACAGGGATCCCAAAATAGTCACCTACTGCCTGTTAAAAAGGTGCTGCTGTTCATACTTTAATTACAAATAGGAATATTTGTAATGTTGGTGTGAAAGTTAGGTATTCATTTTGTGTTTGGAGGTGTGTCTACTGATTCAGAAGGTAAACATATATTTCTAATTGACTGCTGGGTACATTATGATGAATATAATCTGTGATGTGTCATACCATTCTTGAGCTAGTCTTTTTTTAGTCAGAAAAGCTATTTGAAGTGTCTAGACCTTCAGTGTGGTAATGACTAGTTTCAGACAGTTGACTGTGTAGATGCTGTATTTTTCTTTTTTGTAATGCGTTAATGTAATGGGCATATATCAGTGAACTAGAAATTAAGCATAATTTAGTTTTGTTCTGTGTCCCTTTACTAATAGCAATTCAGGATTAATTTGACTGCAGTGTTTTCTCTTTCAGTGTTCACATGCTATATTAGAAGATTAGCTTAGAGACTTGTTTGCTGTGTACTTTTTTATTTCAACAGATGTGTCTTTAATGTCAACAGTGCTGGAAGAATGAACTAGTGCCTGCAAACAATATGGAATGTTTTTTTTTTTGGTTTACAGTTTTCAGGAGTTGTAAATGGATCGTTTGAAAACAATTGTGGAATTCTTTTTTTTTTTTCTTTAAACAAGAAACAATCCTTACCAAATAAGATAAAGCAAAACTAAATATAAAATAATTATTTTAAGTTTTTAATTCATTGTGTTGGGAAAGCTAGGTATTATTTGGTTTCTGTGGTAATTTAAACTACTGAAGCCATTAGTTAATTCTTTAGTAATCCTCAAGGATTCTTGGCCAAAATTGGTATAGTAATGCAGCATGTCTAACTCATGAATGAGAGAATTTATCCATAAATGCTGTAATGAATGATGAAAGAGAGAGCCATATATTAAAAAGCTGCAGGCAATTTACAGTTCCTGTACTGAAGGGATGTTGTTTGACGGAGATGTGCAATTAAAAAAAATTTGATTCAATTCCAGATTCCACCAGCACCACCCAGGCCTGACTTTGATGCCTCAAGGGAGAAATTGCAGAAACTTGGAGAAGGGGAAGGATCAATGACTAAAGAAGAATTCACCAAGATGAAACAAGAACTGGAGGCGTATGTAGACTTGATTACTACTATTTTTTTTTTATCCCTCAACTTTTAATATTGTTTGCTGTCCCATGTTTTTGATTCATTGTAATGGTTCTCTCTGAGATATAGGCTTGAGAATCCAGTTGCTACATAACCAGGGTTATCTTAGTGATCATGATCAGAGCCATTAGGAAAATTGTAGAAATAATTTCATGCAAGGTCTTCTGAAAGAAGAAAAAAAATCAGCTTGTTCTTGAGCATTCTTTTGTAAGGAAAAAAATAGTTAGATCCTTTTCTTCACAGAACACGTGCAAAGGGAAGACGTAATCTCTATCTTTTTTAGTTCTGGTGTTGCACATTTTATAAGCATAATGAAACTTTAAGGTTTATGCATGTAGTGTTTGAACTAGGGATTTTTTTGCATGTGGTTGGTAGTGTAAACATAGATGCCAACCTTCTGTTCCCCAAGAAATATGGAGATTATTAGAAAAAACTTTTTTTGACACTCCTTTTTTTTGCACAAGGAGAATATACTTCCTGAAAATAGTATTTTCCCTTACAGTGAATTTAATGTGTATTGAAATATCCGCTTTAAGGCTTTTTGTTCCATATGGAGTTACACAGTGAAGTTTCTCCTTGCTTCATCCACTTTCCTTATCATGCATTCACTTCTTTGATCTTTTTCCTGTCATTGATTTCAGTTTTCAAGTGTATATTTACGCTGCTTCTAGACTGCTTCTATCAAGAGCTCTGAATTGGCAAGAAAAGTACATAGAACTCTTAGAACTGCTGCTTTCTCTCGGAACTCCAGCTGCTGTGAGCAAATGTCTTAAAAAGCTCTGTATTAGTATTACATACTAAACGTGATTTATAGCAGAGTAGATATACACTTCACATGCAGAAAACTGGAAATTAGCAAAACACTATAGATTTTAAAAAATCTGTGGTTTTCCAGCGGCCCTGATCATGATTCTCTTGTGGTCTGGTTAGGGGTTGGATAACACAGAAAACTTTGGGTTTCTTCTACTGCCACCTCCATCCTCTGCATCCTCCTTTTTTGTCTTCACTGAATGACTACTACTCTCACTGAGATCAAACACCTCCCAACACTGGCCCTGCTGGTTTGCTGGTATGTAAATCTTAACCTCCTCGCACATAGTGGAAACAAAAGTGTTGATTATCGTTTCACCATTTGACCTCAGAATGGGGAAAAAGAATCCCTTCCTCATTTCTAGACAAGTTACATCTTATTCATTGAATTTGCAAAGCAAAATGGATTCTAGCAAACTTGTATTGGTAAGAATGCCTTCCTCTTAATTAAATAAAAAATGAGTAATTGCTTTAAAGTTGAGTTGGCTGAACTGGGCAACTATGTGATTGTCATGGTTAAACGTGTTTTTTTGGTTGTACCTACCAAATGCAGCACTTAATTTCACTTTTAGAACCACTATGAACCAAGACATCCACATAAGCTTCAGCTCAAAAAGGCTAGGTGCTTTAACATGGAATAAAAGACTGCTATCTACAGAGCTAACAAAACTACATGAACATTTACATAAGTAAGGAGGGTGCAAATAGGCAAGGGGATGGAGATGGGGAGGAAGGAATTTGCACATCAGCTACATAATCCCTAGTGACTGTAGTCTGTATTTCAATTTCTTGATTTTTGGGGAGTTGGGGAAAGGACAATTAAACAAGGTTACACTTTCAGCAAACCAGTCTGTGTTAGCTAGTCTTAAAAATTAGAATGTATTTGTTGAGTCTTTATTAAAAGTCTCTGTAATATGTTAGGGCTTCAAATTTCCCCCTAGCATTAACATTGCACTATTTATGTATATATCAATTACTGGAGTGATAATGACTCTACTACATCAACTTACAATTTTGTATCTTTACTGTGGATACCTTAAAGCTGCTCGCTAAGTTTATCTCAAACTTTTAATTGCTTCACGTGAAATTCTTATGTCTGTCTTGTTTTTTGCTTTCAGTGAATATTTGGCAATATTCAAGAAGACAGTTGCAATGCATGAAGTGTTTTTGTGTCGTGTGGCAGCACATCCTATTTTGAGAAAGGATTTAAATTTCCATGTATTCTTGGAATATAATCAGGATGTGAGTATTGAAAACTGAATTGCTGGCGAGAGAATTCAAGATGTACTTTTATGGTAGGATGGAAAATTGATTAAGAGGGCTTTACCTCCTGGAGCAAATTGCATCAATTCCTTCATACCAGACATACTTGTATTTTAGAAGTTAGAAACTCTGTAGGAGTTCATTTTGCTGTCACCTGGGGAACAAAACGCACTATGTGTTCTAGCCTCAGAATCAAAAATATTAATGGGAATCCAATATGTTTTAGACTAAAAAGATTAGCTTTTGATGGTGATTTCGTTATACTTGTCCATTCTTTGACTGATTTTTTTTTTTTTTGTGGGGGAAGATGATGCAACAAAGATGGAATGCTTAATTTTTAAGATTTGGAACTACGGTTTAAATTCCATGGCTAACAAAACTAGAAAGGATTTCTAATGAAATGTTCTGATAAGTAAAGCCTTTTTGTTAATAATGTAGGAGAAAATTAACCAAATTTTTATTCTAAATACTGAACTCCTGTGGCTATCCACATGTTTCATACTGAATTGCTATCTACTTTTGAGTTAATGGAGAGGACTTTCTGTATTCATAACTCTTTGGTGTTGGGGGTTAGTGGTTGCTCATATTCTGTAAATAGTTTTTAGTTGCTTTTTAATATTGCAGAAATCAGCACTAAGTGTTGAAGAAAACATTACAAAGATTGGCTCAACGGAGTACATACTTAACTTCAAAATATACTACAGAGCATCTTGTTGCTTGATGTAGAAATGCTTACTTGTTCAGGAACTCAGTTTACCTAGATTGGGCAAATTTAGATGGACAAGAAGAGTGTGAGGAGGCTGAAACTAACATTATCCTCAGTGCAGTGAGGGGTAAATGCTTCTGTGGTTTCTGAAAGTCAAAGATCTGCCATTTTACAGTTAAAAGAGCAAAACTAGATTATATTAGATTAACTCAACAGCTATACTGTGTGTGATAAATACTGTCTGATTGATAACTGAAATGTACACCTTGTACATTTAGTATTATCTGTAGGTGCTAGAATGTTGCTGATTCTTCTCCCCAACAAAACAAACAAACAAAAAAAGTATTTTAGGTGATAAAGAATGGTCTAGTAAATTAGGTAGTCTGTCATTCTGTGTGCGTGGTGCCCTGTCTCCATTAATGCAGAGTATAAGACTAAGCAGAGAGCAGGAAAACTGGTTTAGGAGTAGCAAATTGTGGTATGTAGTTCTATTTTATTTTTTTTAAGCTTTTATTGCCTCCAGAAAATGAACTAACTTGATAAATGAATTTGTTTTTCAGTTGAGTGTTCGTGGGAAAAATAAGAAAGAGAAACTTGAAGACTTCTTTAAAAATATGGTTAAATCAGCAGATGGTGTCATTGTTTCAGGAGTAAAGGTGATTACTGCTTAACATACTAAGATTTAAAATGTATTAACATTGTTGTACCCTTTTACATAGCTACAAAAAAGGGATTTTTGTAGTGTTGTCTAACTTAAGAATTAGAGGCAGAGCATGGGAAGGAACCTGTGGCCCTGGATGCAAGATAAGTGAGGGCTATTTGATTGCTTCTGTGAAAGAGGGCTTTCAATACTCCTTCCCCTGTGTTATGAAATTAAGCATTTTTTAATCCATAGATAATTGATAATATGTTTTTTGTTCTGGCCTTTCATTTTATATAGCAGGAAGGTGCACTAGCTTTGACAACAGCTGCAGCTCAGAAGTTACTAACACAGTGTAAATTTTACCAGCCTTGTAACATCCTTCTACTGTTCCAAAGCTAAGAGCAGCAGTAGAGGTGATACTATTTTTCCCAGCAGATGCAAGAATGTAACTGAGACGCCAAAAAAAAAAAAAAAAAAAAAAAATCAATTTCATTTTGACTTTTCCAAAGGTTGAAAGATTGGTTTTATAACAAGCATAAGTTCTGCAGAAGATTATTTTGATCTCCTTTCTTTTTAGTGGTAACTTTCCATTTGCAAGCAAATTAGAGGAGCTAAAGTTCCTAGTTGTAAAATCTTGAGTTTCAAAACTGCTGGAAAGTGGATATAACCATGGATTAATTATGATTTGGAGAAAAATACAAAGTCCAAATAACCAGCGGTTTTCAAAAGCACATTGTTCAAAGCCCATGTTGTAGGCTATTCCATGTGCATCTGTGCTATTTTAGAGAGTTTTTAAAAATAAATATAAACCAAGTATCTCAAATTGTAATATAGAAAATATTAAAATTTACCTACATTTATCAACTTGAAAGAAATACGTCATCAAGATGAGCGTTCCTGAGCTAGGAATTCATACTGTCTCTGCTATGACTGCAGCATTTGTGCAACTGGGTGTCTGTCTTCCCCTCTCCCCTTTTTCTAGGTACATGACTTTAAGTACTTGACATTTGTTCTATTTTTCTGTCACCAAAGTGGTAGTTAGTAGTGAAATTATTTCTTTCATTTCAGGTTTAGTTATCTAGACCTTTAAGATGCTTGTTACAAATTCTTAATTCTTAATAATTTCTTAATAAAACTTCAGATCATGATAAAATAAGTGAAGAAGAAATCAGTTTACATAAATGGTGTTTTAGACAACAAAAATAGATTGCATTTCATGTCACAGCAATGTATGCACATTTACTCTGCAATTGCTGTGTACCGAGTGAGTGAAATCCTGTTTTTTTTAATTGTTCTTGTTTTTTGTAGGATGTGGATGACTTCTTTGAACATGAAAGAACATTCCTTGTAGAATATCACAACCGAGTCAAAGATGCCTCTGCCAAGTCTGATAAAATGACAAGATCACATAAAAGTGAGTTCTTCTTCCAAGGTGAAAATAGTATTAGTTGAAGTGTGCAGAAGTGGTTTGTGAGGAGCTGTAATTTTTAGCTTTCTTTTTGCATGTGAAAAGTTAATTAATTTCTCCAAATGTAGTCTTTGGATAGTCTAAAGACGTTTAATCTGTCTTTCAAAGTTTAGCCTTTGCTGTAATAGGCTGGATAGAGTAAGAACAGCTTGATGTGACACTGAAGATATCTTGATTCTTCATGCTGTCCCTTTGAAGAGAAACACATGTTATGTAATAATATTTTTTGAAGTCTTTAAAATGTAAATGTGAGTAATATAGCAGTATATATGATTTTACTCCTAATGAAGCTGCTCTTTATTGGATGAGCTTGCGTTCATCAGAGTGCAATTTCTTGGCACACTAGCCATTGCATTACATTGCTGAGCAGCAAGCTCCTATTTGGGCCATTAGTTCTAGACCAGGAAGTCAGGTTTCCATTTTTCAGCCTTTTAGAATGGAGACTGGAACATGTAATTTCAGTAGCTTGGTTTGCAGGACCCGTTTTCTTACTGAGGTGAGATTTTCCACTTAGCTATTATTTTCTCTTCCTGAGCTGAGTGCTAGCTAATGTGATTTCTGGAAGCTCTAGATAGTCTTCTCAAGTGTAGTGTGTTTATTTGAGAAGATGGAAAATCTTTGGATTAAGACGACTGTGTTTGGTTTAGGATTACTGCGTTTTGAGAAGCTCAGAAAAAAGTTGACCTTTATTGCCCTTGATTTTAAGGTTTTGTGCCTAAATAAATTAAAATTGAACTACTAGATTCTATCTACTTTCTTGAAGCTTGTGTCTGATTCACAGATTCTGTCTTTGCTATCTATAGTAATATAGTTCACAGAAAACAACCTTCATTCATAAGGACTCTGAAGTGGATATTGAATGAGACATTAAACCAAGAATTTACTGAGCTCTTCAGATGCTTCTCTTGATGTTGTATGAAGACTGAGTCTTTTGTAGCTTTAGTATCTATACTAGGAGATGGCGAAGAGTCCTTCACTGCTTAATGAGTACTAATGGACCCTGGGTCTTCATTCAGTTCCCACCTGAAGTGATTTCTGGTCTTTTGTTTGCTTTCTTAAAATGAAAACTGAACTTCATTCATGGTAGGTAGGTGCCAAACTTCAGGTAGTGCGAGAGCCTTTCATGTTGGCTGTAGAACCAGGAAAATTGTTAGAAATGAGGTTGTAGAGGACTTGATGGGAAAGGATAGATCAACTCGTGGCAAAGCTTCACTGGTTTTCAGACTCAAATCACCGAGGATGTTTATTGACAACTTTTATCAAACTGCAAATTCGGACAAAGGGCATCTTTTGAAATTCTGGCTAGAAGAGTAGACCAGTGCCCTGGGAAGCCTGTTTTGGAAATGGACAGTCTGTAGTTTATGGACGACTTATGATCAACAGAGAGCTGCAGGGCTTGCAAAGATACCGGCTTCCTATTTGCAGCAGAAAATCTATTTTTACGTTTGAAGGGGAGGTTAATGGCTTCCTAATATCGTTCTTCCCTGTAGCCAACTGCACTGATTCCCTTGGAATGTATGGAGTAATGGGTGGAAGGTGACCCACTCAATCTGTTAAAACAAGGTTGTGTTATTTAAAAAAAAAAAAATCTGCTTAAAGGCATATAAACTTTAAAAATAACAAGCAAATTTATTTTCCTGTTCATTGCTTGGATCTGTTAGCATTTTCATCATCCATTGATTTTATACGAAAAGCTCTTTTAAAAAAGCCATCTGTGCAAATATTTGATTTTTATCACTACTATATAGCTATACCTCACTATTCAAGTTATGCAGCCTTCTTTAAAAATCCTGCTTCTACTTTCATTGTTTAAAATGCTTTAACACGAATGCTACTTCAACCAGTAACCACTTGTTAATGAGTCAAGGGTTTCCTGAAAATTAGGTGTGTGCTAGAAAAGGTGGTGTGCATATAGTGCTGTATTTTCGTAGTTTGGAGTTTGTATCCAATTTATTGCTCTCAGGCACACAGACTTAGCTCCTCATTATTATTAGACTGTGGTGGTTGTTTTTTTTCAAATAGCTTTGGACTTTAGATTCAGATTTAAATTCAGACTTTAGCCATTGAGTTTGTACATCTTCCACCAAAATAAAACCTATCAAAGTTGCACAATAAATTTATCCAGCAGGTGCTAATTGTGCTATTCCTAGATAAATTACAGATGTCATGATTTGGTGAGAGCCCCATGTTTATTGTGTGAAGTTATCCTTCATAAAATTTCAGTCATGTCACTTACTATTTTTGCTTTTGTGTTAAAGGATGTTCCTTTTAGAAAAACACCTACTCCTGAAGAAAGAAAGAAACCTCAAAATATCCAGAAAGCAGAGGAATGAAATAGTAAAACAAGTGCTTGTTTGTTTTTTCTAGATGTGGCTGATGACTATAATAGAATTGGTTCTTCATTATATGCATTAGGAACACAGGACTCCACAGATATATGCAAGTAAGATATTGTTAATAACTTATGGGGGAATCTGCTAAGTAGCAGTCTCAACGGTGACCTGCTGAGATCAGTAGCTCTCTTGTTATGAGAAAAACAGAATTTATTATACTTATATCACATTACAATTTTTTCTTCTCTAGCATTTTATTTCTGTAACAGGCCGCTTTAATATTTTTCTGGAAAAAAAATGTTGTTTTGTGTGGTTTGTAGAAAATTACACAGATCAGATGGAAGAGTCCTCACAGAATAAGGAAAAAACTCAACTCTTTCATCATTTTTTTTTAAAGTGTTTTACGTGCTTTGACATGTGCAGCAAGAACAGGTCTTGGTCTGAGTATAACGATTTTTGTGAGTGTTCCCTGAACCAACATCTTGAAAAATAGTTTTGATGTTCTGGCAATTTTTCTGCCTTTAGGAAAAGAAAGTAATCTACAGAGATCCCTAACTTTGAAAATAGAAGAGGGTCTTATTGGAGTAGTATGGTTGTTGGAGTTAGTGTGATGACAGGTACCAGATGAGTATGAAAGTTAACTTATTTTTATTAGTTTACCTGAGTTACAGTGACATACTTCCAAATGTGGTGATTACTTTGATTATAGAATTGAGATTGGATGTAGTCTGTTTGGGTCAGTCAGGAATCATGCCTGTTTTCTGTCAAAATAGTATGATTTGACTGTACTTCAGTCTGCTGTTATACTGAATCCTTTTATTGTCTGCTGTGAGGAAGATATGCCACATTGTTGCTCAGCCTCCCTGAATTCAAAGTAGGCCGTGCATCACGTTTACTGTGTGTAGAAAAGTACATTCAAATTTGAGTGAAGGACACTTGATAATTGCGTAGGAGCATTAACCCGGGTGGTGGTGTTTGGGGTTTAATTCACGGAAGCATAATCTCTGTGGAGCTGTGCAACTATTCTTTAGTAAAAAACATCCTCCTGTTATGCTTTGCTTGTCCCTTACCTTTTTTTAAGTTGTACAATGCCCATATGTTTGAAGTGCTACAATTTGAAACTATCATGTTCTTGGAGTTCTGTGAATTACAATTCTAAGCAATGCTGTTACAGTGTTTATTGCAGACACAGATTATATTTTGGGTTCTAGAAAGTAATTAGACTGTTCAAATTAATGTTGTAATATAAGCTGTTTCCTTTGTGCAGGTTTTTTCTGAAGGTATCAGAGTTATTTGACAAAACAAGGGTATGTACTATGAAACCTTTTTAGATACATTCTTTGTGTACATCCTGGAAGTGTCAGGACATCTTGTGTCAACTAGACATTAGTATGTGGATGTTTTATGGGTGCTTCTATATGAAGCATTTAAACAATGTGTGGTAGGGAATGAAAAAGCATAAGATTTCAGTCATCTGTTTTGTAAAATGAGTGATCCTTAGGAGTCTTCAGTCCACTAAATATTTATAGGCAGTCTTCCTGTCTTCTATGTAATATACTAGTAAAGCTGCTGTTCCTCTAAAATGCTTAGAGGCCTTCAGTATTTGTTACTGGGTACTGCAGAACTTGTTATGGAAAAAAGAAACGAAGAAATGTAATCCTTAATCCAAAAAATGGCAGTCATGCTGCTTTTTTCTGGAACCAAGATCTGTTTCTCCAATGATTTGACTCAGAAATACTATTGCTGATGCTCCTAACCAGATTTTCAAATATCTTGTCTCTTTTTGCCTTATTTGTTTGGCTTGGTATAGCAGAAGATGCATGCCATGTATCAGGAAAACTTCTGAATGAGAAATGTGTGCATTTCCTAAACACAGACAGTTATATCTGCATAAATATGTACGTTAAAGAAAATGAAGTTAACGGAATTACTTGTTTTGACCAAAAATGTTGCCTTCTAGAAATTCTTTTAAAATTAAGATTTAAAAAATGCACTTGCAGACTCTATTTCTAAATTCACAGAAATGTCTGTTTCAAATAGAAGCAAATATGTTTATTGGGCTTTTGGGCCCTTTAATGTATGCAGTTACACAACTAGTCTGCAAAGGTGCCTTAATGTGTTTTCCTTTGATCTCAAAAGCAATACAAAACTTCTTGCGCAACTCTTTATGCTAAACCCTAATACTGCTTCTCATGATGCATCTTTTAAGTATTCTTTCACAAATGCATGGTCTTAGTTTTTTGAAAAAGACAAATCTGTCATGTACTGCTGTATATTTTATGTTGTATTTACATCATACAAGTTGTCCTGGTTTTGGCTGGTGTAGAGTCAATTTTCTTCTTAGTAGCTGTATAGTGCTGTGTTTTGGATTTAGTATGAGAACAGTATTGATAACACACTGATATTTTTAGTTATGGCTAAGTAGTTGTAGTGCTTACACTCAGTCAAGGACTTTTCAGCTCCCCATGCTCTGCCAGCGGGGAAGGGCACAGGAAGCTGGGAGGGGGCACAGCCAGGACAGCTGACCCAGACTGGCCAAAGGGATATATATTCCCTACCATATGATGTCATGCTCAGTATAGAAACTGGAGTTGGCCAGGGGCAGGATTCACTGCTTGGGGACAGGCTATCAGTCACTGGGTGGTGAGCATTGCGCATCACTTGGTTTTGTATATTCCTTTATCAGTATTTTTTCCCTCTTCCTTTACTGTTCTATTAAGCTGGTTTTATCTCAACCTGTGAGTGTGTTTTTTTTTTTCCCCCTATTCTCTCTCCCATCCCACCTAGGGTGGGGGGGAGGCAAGCCAGCAGCTGAGTGGTGCTTGTTTGCCGTCTGGGGCTAAACCACCACCCAAGTGAATACCCAAAGTCTGGATGTTTTTTATTTTCCAGAAAATAGAGGCCCGGGTATCTGCTGATGAAGATCTTAAACTTTCTGATCTTCTGAAATATTACCTAAGGGAATCTCAAGCTGCTAAGGTGAATTTATGTTTTTTTGTTCAGTGAAATAGTTTCTTTTAAAAAAAAAAGTGTGTTATGAGGTAATCTTGAGAAATACACAGTAGAGAGATGAAAATGCTGCCACCTCTAGCCTGCAATTTCTCCCTCAGCTGTAAACACTGGATCTCTGTTGTATATAAGGCGTAACAATGCAGTTGCTGACTGTGGGACTGACTATTTGGAACTGTGAGATCCACTTATACTGTATGATTTGGCCTCAAAAACAGTGGAAGAACTGTTGGTGAATTGTTCATGTGTTTGCAGTGTGTTTGCTGCTTGTAGACTGCAAGCAATTCTACCTTTTTTAATATTCAAAATGGATACTCCAGATGATCTGCAAGTGCTGACACAAAAACATGTGGGCCAAATTTGATATTCTATACCTATAGAAAATGTCATTCTTAGTGGTGTTTGATGTAGGATAATTAAGGAACATGACAGAATGAGGAAGCATTTGACAGAAAATGTCTGTAGTTAGAAGATCACAGCAATAACTGTTGCACAAAAAATGCTACTGCTGTTTCTTGGGCCCTGGGTGTATTTCAAATACTTAATCTAAATATAGCTTCTTTCTAATCTAAGAAGCTGTGAAATTTCCCATGATTGCCCCTCCTTAGGCTTTTTGGAGTATCATCTAAGCCATCTGTTGCTAGCCTTTGTCAGACAAGATGCAGACCAAACAATATCAGATTGTGTGTCTGATCCAGTGTGGACATTCCTGTGACTTGCAGGATAAAGTAAAGCGAATGCAAATAATTTAGTAAGAACTGAAATACAGCAAGAAAGACTAAAATTAATTTATTTTTATTATTATTATTACTTGGTATATGCTGAAATTCTTGGGTAGATTCTTGTAAACTCTATACATTCTTTATGGTTTTTTTAATAGGATCTCCTTTATAGAAGATCTAGGTCACTAGTGGATTATGAAAATGCAAATAAGGCATTGGATAAAGCCAGAGCAAAAAATAAAGATGTGCTGCAAGCTGAAACTACTCAGCAAATATGCTGTCAGAAATTTGAGAAAATATCTGAATCAGCAAAACAAGGTATTTGGGTGGTCTTTGATCCTACGTTACTACTTGAAAATTAACAGATTTTAGGATATCATTAATGAGAATAGATCTTTGTTCTGTTTCCTAGGATGATCTATTGTCTTTTAATCAGTATTTACTTATTATAATAAGTATATAGTACTTACATTATTATTATTATGATAATACTTATTTACTTATAGTTCAAATGATATTTTTCTTCGGCTCCTCATAGCTCCATTAGGCAGAGCAAAGTCTAACTGCAAATTTTTTGCTAACCACTTTTTTTTTTTTAATATGAATATGATAGGATACAAAATGATAATTGCTAGCAGTTAAAGGCAAACCTAATTTTTTAAACTATTGTTGAAATTCTTTTGGTTTTATACATTCTACTGTGAATGCAGCAGTCTGTTGCATAGATGATAGGATGTTAGAAAAGGGAGAAATAATGAAATGAGATTTCACTGAAGCTGTAGTGTTAACAGTAGACCTAGAGAAAAGGAACCTTATTTACATGTTGTTTTTTTCCTGGAAACTTACTTTTTTTTTTTTTCTTTTAGGCTGAGATTGCTGTGAGTTAGTAGTCATCTGACTCATTATTTGGGGCAGATTTGTTCAAGGTTTAAACACCATGCTCTTTTGTTTTTATCATTTAAGAGTTGTTTGACACTGTAATGATTCCTGTAAATGACACAGTGCTATTAGCCACAAAGGTATATCCATGAAGCATACTTGCTTCCTCTGTTCTTCATGTTAGTTTTAGCTTAGTATCTTCCCTAGATACTTTTATATATCAGCCTTGAAAAAACAGTGCACATGGAATAAGAGAATTAAATGTTTTAAAGCATCCACACTGCAGTCTTTTTTCAAAAGAGCTTTCTGACCACAAAAGGTTAGCTAGAAATGAAGAACTCCAATGATTGTTTGCTTTCATCCAGCAGTGTAGCAGTATCTTTGAGCCTGGGATGTGCTGAGATTAAACTTGAGGTTTTTTCCTTCTCTTACCCTGTACCTTTTCCACCCAGAAGGAAAGTCTGTTAACAGTTGAGGGTACTAGCAATAATACTGTTAATGAATCCATTTTTATTTTCTATAGAACTGATAGACTTTAAGACAAGAAGAGTTGCAGCATTCAGAAAAAACCTGGTGGAACTAGCAGAACTGGAATTGAAGCATGCTAAGGTAATTGTGATCCTTTTTGGCCTGTATTTCAACTGATTTTAAATATTATATGTTTGAATAACTGAAATGGCTGCATTTGTTGTGCAACTCAGGAAGGGGAATTTGAATCATAGAATCATAGAATCTTTGGATTCCAAGGGACCTTCAAAGGTCATCTAGTCCAACCCCTCTGCAGTGAGAAGGGACATCTTCCACTAGACCAGGTTGCTCAGAGCCCTGTCCAACCTGACCTTGAATGTTTCCAGGGATGGGGCATCTACCACCTCTCTGGGCAACCTGTGCCAGGGTTTCACCATCCTCCTTCTGAAAAATGTCTTCCTTATATCTAGTCTAAGTTTGCCCTCTGTTAGGTAAAAACCCTTACCCCTTGTCCTGTCGCAACAGGCCCTGCTAAAAAGTCTGTCCCCATCTTTCTTATAAGCCCCCTTTAAGGTCTGGAAGGCTGCAATAAGGTCTCCCCAGAGCCTTCTCTTCTCCAGGCTGAACAACCCCAACTCTCTCAGTCTGTCCTCAGAGGAGAGGTGTTCCATCCCTCTGATGATGTTTGTGGCCCTTGTCTGGACCATATCCAACAGGTCCATGTCTTTCCTGTGCTGAGGGCTCCAGAGCTGGATGCAGGACTCCAGGTGGGGTCTCACCAGAGCAGAATAGAGGTGCAGAATCACCTCCCTCGACCTGCTGGCCACGCTGCTTTGGATGCAGCCCAGGATATGGTTGGCTTTCTAGGCTGTGAGCACACATTGACGGCTCATGTCCAGCTTTTCATCCACCAGTCCCCCCAAGTCCTTCTTGGCAGGGCTGCTCTCAATCCCTTCATCCTCCAGCCTGGACTGATATGGGGGGTTGCCCTGACCCAGGTGCAGGACCCTGCACTTGGCCTTGTTGAACCTCATGAGGTTCATACGGACCCATTCCTTGAGCTTGTCCAGGTCCCTCTGGATGGCATCCCGTCCCTCAGGTGTCAGCTGCACCACTCAGCTTGGTGTTATCTGCAAACTTGCTGAGGGTGCACTCGATCATACTGTCTATGTCTTTGATGAAGATACTATACGATCTTAGAGTAGAATCACGGAATCATTAAGGTTGGAAAAA